TAGCTCTGAAGAGGTCAGGACTAGATGATCTTTGAAGGTCCCTTCCAAGCAAGGCTTTTGACACGGTTTCCCATAGGATCCTACTGGACAAAATGTCCAGCATACAGCTAAATAAAAACATCATACGATGGGTGAGCAATTGGCTAACGGGCAGGGCCCAAAGGGTTATGGTGAATGGGGCTGCGTCAGGCTGGCGGGCGGTCACCAGTGGGGTCCCTCAAGGCTCCATTTTAGGGCCGGTACTTTTCAATATTTTTATAAATGATCTGGGTGTAGGAATAGAAGGCATTTTGAGCAAGTTTGCTGATGACACCAAACTTGGAGGAGTTGTGGACTCGAATGAGGGTGGAAAGGCCTTGCAGAGGGATCTGGATAGGTTGGAGAGCTGGGCGATCGCCAACCACATGAAGTTCAATAAGAGCAAGTGCCGGGTCCTGCACCTGGGACGGGGAAACCCTGGCTGCACGTACAGACTGGGCGATGAGACGCTGGAGAGCAGCCTAGAAGAGAGGGATCTGGGGGTCGTGGTAGACAACAAGTTGAATATGAGCCGGCAGTGTGCCCTGGCAGCCAGGAGGGCCAACCGTGTCCTGGGGTGCATCAAGCACGGCATCGCTAGTAGGTCGAGGGAGGTGATTGTCCCGCTCTACTCTGCGCTGGTGCGGCCTCACCTCGAGTACTGTGTGCAGTTCTGGGCACCACAGTATAAAAAGGACATGAAACTGTTGGAGAGTGTCCAGAGGAGGGCTACGAAGATGGTGAAAGGCCTGGAGGGGAAGACGTACGAGGAACGGCTGAGGGCACTGGGCCTGTTCAGCCTGGAGAAGAGGAGGCTGAGGGGAGACCTCATCGCAGTCTACAACTTCCTCATAAGGGGGTGTCGAGAGGCAGGAGACCTTTTCTCCATTAACACCAGCGACAGGACCCGCGGGAATGGAGTTAAGCTGAGGCAGGGGAAGTTTAGGCTGGACATCAGGAAGGGGTTCTTCACAGAGAGAGTGGTTGCACACTGGAACAGGCTCCCCAGGGAAGTGGTCACTGCACCGAGCCTGACTGAATTTAAGAAGAGATTGGATTGTGCACTTAGTCACATGGTCTGAACTTGGGTAGACCTGTGCGGTGTCAAGAGTTGGACTTGATGATCCTTAAGGGTCCCTTCCAACTCAGGATATTCTATGATTCTATGATTCTATTCTATTCTAAATTTCTTGAAATTTCTTGATTGTAGCTCTGAGATTACTTTGACCAGTCTTTCAAATACCACCAGACACAAATACCACCAAAACTTTCTTCCATATTATAATCTGAGATTTTACCATTTCTGCTATTACTAATTGCAAGAAAAACCTGTTGCAGTTGACCTTTTTTACTGAAGGCTGACTTCTGATATGCTGAGTAGAAGACAAACAATTTTCTTTGTCTTCTTCCAATTAATGCACTTAGAGGGTAATTTTTGTTACCTATTTATCCCTTGCTGGTGCATCTTAATCTGTCCTAGCCTTCCAGGTAGTCATATGCTATGCTTTTATAATCATTATTTCCAGATTTCATCTTCTACATGATTTCCTCCAGAGGTCAATGAAGAACTCATGATTTAGGCATCTGACTCTTTTTTTATAGAATAGATATATCAGAAACAACAAAATAAAATGATTCAAACCCCAGTTAATTCAATTACTGTGCTACTGAAGTCTTTGCAAGCCTTGACTATGGCTGTGAAGGCCAATGAATAATTCTGGTGAAGTATCTCTGCAGTGAAAACAGATTCACAATCATTTTATCGGTTGGCAGAGATACAGATGTGAAACTTTGGTATAATTTAGTGGGAGTTTCACAACTACAGGGCTGCAGATGCAGAACGCATTGTCTCTGAGACACCACCACAAACAAGCCTGCTAAAAAACACAAGTGCTTGAACACGACTCCAAACATAAGGGACCTCACAATGCTCTAAATTACTGATTTTTATAAATACTGAAATCCTCACAATCACTACAGAAGAAAAATTAAATATACAGATGCATACGTAGATAGGGAGTTCACCTTTTCTTTCAACTACAAAAGAATCAAAATAAAGAAAGAAGGAGACATCACAGGAAGCAGCAAAAACCTGTTTTATAGCATAAGAATAAAATATATAGTTTTAATTAATATCTGATCAATACTTTCCTATCTCTACCAAGAAGAAATCATATTATTTTAGTGCAGGACAGGACAGGAAATGTTTTTTATTATTCTCAAAAGAATTAAAAACAGTAAATGAAATATAAAAACACCTTGAAAGTGGTGTTTCTGTACAGATAATCACCTAATTTACCGTTTTATAAAAAATATACAAAAATCCAACAGTGTGTGTCTTTTTAAAAATTGAGTCCCCAATCTATGCCTGCTAATAACACTGAATCAAGTGCTTTCAAGTCTCTAGAGCATTGTAATAAATTATATCAGGCAGAATCAAAACGTAGTATTTGGAGAGTGGTGACTCAACAGCCTTTGTACTCAATAAAGTAATGCACAAACTGGCTCAATACCCCTCTATCCTTGTGAAGCACCAATACTCTCTAAAAGTATCCAATGCCTAGACGTTATCTGAGATTTACACAGGTTATATATACAGAGAGCCACAGCTTCAGCAGTGGTATTTACTGAACACCTTTTAATTTCTTGTAATTTCTGTATATTTGTTAAAATCTTTTAGTCCCTAACTAACTAGTAAAGCATGGCTTAGGATAATTAACACAAGAGGATAATCCATTTTTTTGCTGCTGTCAGTCCTGCCTTAAATTTTCAGTTCCTGAAATTAAATTTCTAATTGTATCTTCTTTTGCTTCCATATTCTGCATGGAAAAAGCGGGATAAGTACTACCTAACTTTAGGCACCTACCTTAGATGATAAGCTAAGAAGCTACTCTTACGACTCCAGTAGAGCAAAGACAGAGAAAAGGATCCTACAAAGAATAATTTAAAGCACCAAGTGTTATATTTGAACAACTCTCAGAAAGACAATAATTTTCTGCACTGATTATATGGGTAGTTTACGGACATTAACCTGTTAATTTAGGTGTCATGGTTTTGGCTGGGACAGAGTTACTTCTATTTGTAGAGGCTTGTATGATGCTATGTTTTGGATTCTTTTATGAAATTAATGGCAATAATACACTGATGTCTTAGTCATTGCTGAGCAGTGCTTACACAGAGCCAAGGACTTTTCTCCTCCTTGTGCTGCCCTGCCAGAGAAGAGGCTGGGGGTGCACTAGTAGCTGGGAGGGGACAAAGCCAGGCTGGCCAAAAGGGTGTCCCACACCATGTGGTGTCATGCTCAGCAGTAACAGCTGGGGGACAGAAGGAGGAAGGGGGGTACGTTGGGAGTGATGGTGTTTGTCTCCCCAAGAAACCATTTGGCATGATGAGTCCCGTTTCCCTGGGGAATGGGAAACTGCCAATGGGAAGCAGCGAATGAGTTCCTTAGCTCGCTTTGATTGCACACATCACTAGTACAATGTCTTTATTTATACCCACAAGCTCTTGCACCTTTCCAATTCTCTTCTCCATCCCACCTGGGGAAAGTGAGCAAGTGGCTGGGTGGTGCTGAGCTGCCTGCCAGGGCTAAACCAGAACATTAGGAAATCAAATTAGATAGTTAGGGTTGGATGTACGATTGCCCTCAATATTTAAAAAAAAAAAAAAGAGAGAGAGAGAGAATGTCTTTTTAAAACTGTAACTTTAAAATTATACATTACGTATACCAAAATTGATATAAGTAAATTTTAAATAGTTTCTACGTAACTTGTAGTAGACAGTTTACCCAACAACAGACATTCAGATTCAATACCTTTTCCCCCTAGCTTTCATAATCACCAGTTTTTCTTATGGGTTTTATTAATAATTAAAAACCACAGCAGAGAGATCAATTAAATGATTCCTTCTTATACAGAAGAGGTATTTGTTTTGGACTGGGGGTAACTTCTGATCATCTGCGATATACAGAATTGTTTTTCTTTTTTTCCAAGTGCATTTTTATTTCAAAATACTGACCTAAATATAAGAAAATAATTTAACACAGGAGAAAATGTTAACGGTTAAATATTTTAATAACTTCTTGAAAAGTCTATAAATTTCCAAGTATCTTTTCCAAATAAGATGACAAAACAATGACATATAGAAAGCATACAAACTGTCAAACTAGTAACAGATATTTATTTCTTCCTGATATGAAGCATTTTGACTCATCTTTTGATGTCTGTAATAAAACTTCATAAATAAATTTCTACAGTAAAACGTTAAATATCAAAGACAGCTTGCCTAATTTTTACTTCTTTAATCAACAAAGCCAACATTTTTGGAAACAGCAAGGATTGGACACTTTCTTCCTGAGTAATGGTACAATGCCAAATTGATGCTATGAAAGCACATATAAAGTGAAGTTTTCTAATAACATATTCAAAGTGCTTCCCAGAATTACAGGATTAGCCTAGAAAATGCTACAATTATGTTTTACAAAGTAAAAGAAAAAAACTCTTTACAATGCTATAAAAAGTAAGAAGGCTTCCCAGTATGGTAAATTCACTTGGGTCTTTAGGACATTTGGCTAGCTGGAGCAGAAGCAATATCTCACCAGGCTGAGCTCCGTAAATCCCAGACAAATGCTCATGGCAAACGTAATCTGCACAGCTTGACATATCCAAACCAGATTGGTTTCTTAATGCACTGCTTGGCTATCTGTGCATGATATGCAATATAAATACAGAGTTAACTTGTCAGACTCACTGCAATGATACTGCATGCAAACACACACTGTGCTTTCCACAATATGGTTGTAATTTATGTTGACCCCTCTTTCATGTATATACATTATGTACTAAAAAGGACAATTCAGAACTTAAAAACACAGAAAACATTGTTTTATAATTTGCAAATGGGCTAAATGTGTGCATGTAAGCTCTTAAATTTTGCAGCTAAACAAGAATTAGAAAAATTGGGTAAAATAACGAAAGTCTTACCTGGTCTGAGGGAGAACAGCATTTATTTGCCATTTTCATCTATGAAATAGAGATGGAATAATACTCAGAGTTATTAATATGCTGATATGAAGAGTTTCTCAATTAGTACTGAGGTAGTTATTGAAGACTGTATTAACACTTTCAAATTACAAGAAAATATATAGTTCCATCCACAAATACTGGATTTATACTATTATACTAAGTTTACAAAACAAAAGACTGGAAACCTTTTATGTAAGTTTTCATGAAATCCTTCATAAAGATTTGCATTTATGAATTTAACTTTTCCATTCTGGGTAAAAATATTATACTGTCCTGTAGACACCTCACTTAAGAAAACAAATACCATAGTGTATATGACATGTTTAAAAATAAAAGGAATATTGCTTATTACCCTTTAGTTTATTGTCAGTATAAAGTTACATATCTTTCTTCTCACTGTTCAAATAAGAGTCCTGCTGATTTTAGATTTTCTTTGGCAGTCATAGTTTCCACAGATGAGTGGTGGACAAATCCTGGCAAATATTCCCTTCTTTAAAGTGAAATATTAGTAAGTGTAGTAATGAAATGGAATAAGACTAAGTGACTGTATATATAGTCTCTTTAAATGCAGGGTTATAAACTGCAAAGAGTCACGCAGCTGATAAACACTTCCAAAGGATCTTGTCATTACACAACCTATTTTGTAACAAATGAAAGGTTTGTGATAAATACCAAAAGCTACAATTATGCACAGGAGAAGTTACAATTTCAACAGAAAAAGAGCAGAAGAAATCCAGGGCTCCCTCTTGTATCCTGGCAAGAGCAGATTTGTAAGACCAAATCTGCAGAAAAGCAGAGCATGTCTGTAGTCATGTAGCTTAGTAAATACAGTGACACCATTACCTGTTATGGTGAGTCAGTTCTGGACAACAGCTGAGGGCCCACACAGCTGCCCTCTTTCTTCCCCTTTCCAGCAGGAACAGGGAGAGAATAGGAACAGGAAAAGCAAGAAGACTTGTGGGTCAAGATAAAGCATATTTAATAAGCGAAGAAAAGAAAAAAAAGTGATGTAAAGGCAATCCCTCACCACCTCCTACAAAAAGACCAATGCCCAGCCAGTCTGCCAGCAACAGGCACCAGGGAAGACAAATGCTCCCCCAGCTTTACTGCTGAACACAATGATGATGGTAGGGAATACCTTTTTGGCCAATTCGAGTCTGCTATCCCAGCTGTTTCCCTTCCAAATTCCTTACCCATCCCTCACTGAGGGGCAGAGGGGGTTAGAATAAGAAAAAGAGAAATTCTTGATGCCCTGCAAGCACTGCTCAGCAACAGAAAAAAACACTTTTAAGGTATCAATGCTGTTTTAGCCACAAATGCAAAGCACCACAACAGCTGCTATGAAGAATGTTAATTCCATCCCAGCCAGACCAAGCACACCTGTGAGCAGCCAACAGGCTTTGTGTTACGTGAATGACAGAGGCCTCAATATGTGTAAGGATTTGTCTTGACTTGTCTTGGGCTGTCTGAAGCTATTTTACACCGTTTAGCAATAAAATAACAATATAATGAGCTATATAATAGACTATTGTCTATTTTGTTTTAGTAAAGTACAATTGTAGGATGTAATGATATATATGTGTATATATACACTTGTAATTAATAGATGGCAATAACAAGTTGTTATTCTGTATAGAGTTAGCCATGACTGCAAACAAAATAGCCTTAAAACACAATGTGATGTAGAGGAGTTTAAGATGACAGCAGGAGCCTTCACTTTACGGACACAGGCAGATACAAAGGCCCAGGCCTATATGAAGTCATCAGTCAGCCCTAACGCATCACGGGCCCTCGGAGGGATCCTGCCATGCTCTACACCACCTCCCCACCACCCTAGAGGAGGAACAGGGACAACCACAACAGAGACAGGGCACAGCCTGCAGGTGCGGGCACATGTACCATAGCACAGACAAGGACAAAAGGAGGGGACTGGAGCTGACAGGCAGCCACCAAGCAAAGTGGGGGCTACTAACATGGCTCCTCACAGCTCCCACACACAGCTCTGCCCACAGCAGCCTGACCCCAGGCTGCATAGCCACATGTGGCCTGAAGAGAGGAGAGGCGGCAGAGCTTCTTTTTCTCGGGGCACTGACAGTAACAAGCCAGTGGGAACTCAAGAATCCTACACTGTAATGTGGATAAAACAAACTGGTGACATGCCCAGTGTTGCTGAAGGAAGCAGACCTCACTGGTCTGGTTTAGCGAGTGGCCTGATCCTATTGGCCTAATCCTGAGCATTTGTGCAGGACACGATGAAAAGGCACATGGAAACCTGTAACACTAGGAGGAATGCCATCACACACTGCCCAGCTTCAGCTACAGACTATCTCCAGTGCTTCAGAGACAAATACACACACAAAGTAACTACACAGAAGCCAAGCAATATAAATGTAATACATTATTTCCATGCAGGTGACCACAGACACGCTACGAATATGATAATATGAAACAGTGCAAATAAGCAGGGCTAGCAGTGATCCTGTCTGCTTCACCTGCCTCTCTGGCTCAGTCCAAACCACTTAAGCTCCCTATATAATAGGAATATTTTTCTTATCTTACTTTTTATTTTATTGTGTTCAGATGTGCCTGGAAAATTGAGTGTGAAACTGGCCATGCAGTTTTTCTGGAGAATGAGGGAAGAGTACCATGAAGAGTATCTTCACCATCAGTTCAGCTTCCTGTTGGTACAGGCAATAGGAAAGAATGCTTTGGACTCTGCAGCTTTTCACTGTACAGACCTAGTTCATTCAAAGCAGGGATGGCTGCTGTCCTAATGTGGGACTGTGGGGAGAGGAAAGAACTCCTTCTGCACCATGTTACATCCTGAAGAGAAAGAAGTATGCACTCTGCACTGTGCCCAGTACCACGTGCTCTCTACATTCCTCCACAGCTGGTGCATTGAGACAGGAATACAAATGGAATAGGCTACACCTTGCTGGGACTGCATTAATATTCAGCACTGCAGTATAATAACGGGAACTGGAGACAACAAGAGAGATAAAACCAAAATCCTGGATCTGCAAAGACTGCAGGCAGTTTGGAAAAGGAAGCAAAAAGCAACTGTAATTACAACACTGTTTTAAATAAATACATACAGGGCAGGAACAGAATGGGGATAAAATCATTCATAACCACATGCTTAAACTCAAATATCTCCTAGGCTGGAGATACGTTTGACAATCTAAAGAAAAAGAAAAAGTTTTACATCTAATATACCTATCCTCCATTTATAGTGAGCAGAGAGAAAAAGAAAGATTTTGACAGGTACTTTTTTGTTTTTTTTTTCTAGGTAACAGAGGGTTATAAGCAACTGCTTATTGTTTGGCTAAATTTAGGTGATGTGTTTCCTAGCCTTACTGACACAACCTTCTTTACAACCTCGATGGCTTGATTTGTGATACTTGCAGATGGGAATTTATGAGTTAAAAAAAAAAAAAAAGGCAGCAAAGAAATACCATGTTTTTATACCACCAGTAGAACTGTAGAACTTTTTTTTTTTTTTTTTTTTTTTTTGTAATCACTGAGGTAGTCATATTTGTTTCCTACGTATTGTAGGCACCCAACGATGTTGTTTCCATCTATCTACAGGTACCCCACATATTGCTATGTAAAGAAAGCAGCAAGACTCCTTCCCTCTTCTTTCTTTTTTATATGCAAGTTCAAAACTCCTAGTTTGTAAGTCTCTCACTAGCCAAACCGAAATTTCACTCCGCTTTGATATACGGTATTACTTAGATATACCTGTACATGAAGGCATAACAGAAAATGTTTAATACTACAACATGTACAATTGAAACAGCTGTCAAAAACAAATATCCCTGTTTTGAAACCAAATTTTAAGTTTCTACCACTCTCCAATGAAGCTGCTGGAATGATTTAAAAAAAACCTTAAATGATACTTTAAGTGGAACAATTGTATCTTAACTAATTTTCTTACCTACTTATGATTTACTCATCTATTTGTGATTAAACTTCTGAAAAATGACACCTTTAAAATGTACCAAAAAAAAAAAAAGAAAAACTTGAAAAAGTTATAAATACAAGAAATAAGTCTCAGTAATGGAAATAATGGAAATGAACTGGCAGCATTAAGTTTATGTGTTTCTGCATATCATTACTATATTAATGTTCAGTGTTATATTTGAAAGAAAACAATTAAGATCAATGAGAAAAGCTTCATATATTTAATAGTTTGTACTTGAATGGCACAAAACAGAAAAATATCAATTATTCCAAATTGTGAAGAACTTTCCCAGCACAGCAAAAAAACAAAAAAACAAACAAACAAAAACCTTCTAACTAAGCGAATAGGAACAGGAGCAGTGCAATGCAGATGCACATTCAGACTGAGTTGTCCCTGTGCTTTTCAATTCATCATGGCAGCTTCACTGGCAGTTTCTGTTCCCTCTCTCCCCTCAGCTTCTTCAGCTGTACTTCCTTCTGTGGGAAAAAAGGTGCACAAAAAAGTAAATGTGAGGTCCTGATTCACCTCTATTATTTTCTTCTGCCAAAGGTAAATGTGAAGAGCTTGGAGAACACTGAGAAGATTGGAAATAATATCCCAAAGAAAGAAGATGGGGAAATTTCACACTGGCAGAAAAGTATGTGAAATACAAGAATATGAATGGAGCTGTGAATAAATTCTGGCAAGAGTCCTTAGAAAAATGTAATCCATACTGCTTCTAAAACTCACAATTACAGGAAGATTTTCCTAGCTAAACATATATATGTAGGACATGTATCAGTACGGAGGGTTGAAAAGACACCCTTACATCTTTCTCCATGTTGCAGTATTCCCTGTATTCCTCTGTCTTGTAAGAATTATCACTCTGCAGGCTGGTACCAGAATCACTATTTCTCATTTACTGAGTAACACTTTCTAGATATGCTAGCATCCAGGGGTAGCATTCTTATGCAGTGATGACTCCTCACATCTTCACTATTGAAAGACAACTCCTCCTTTATGCTTGATCCCCAGAGAGCTTGCCTTCGCAAAGAAGTTAGATGTTTCAGTACTTCAAAAAAGTAGTCTGACATTAGCAGAAGTGTCACATTGTGGCACAGTTATTTTTATACTGCCTACATTAGGATTATCTTCTGGCATCAGCAGGAGATCTGACAGAGCTGCCAGTTGCTGAATGAGACTGTACAGTGGCAAAATAAAATATATGAAGGTAAAGTGATGTATGAAAGAGAGGGTGCACTGCAAGAAAACAATTCATCTGCATCAGGAGCACTTTACAAATTAAAATTCAAAGAGAAATATTCAAAATGGTATGCAAAAGTATATGACAAAAGTTGTATGTAAAAGAGTAGCACAAATATGCACAGCTGAATTAGGAATGATTAAACTGCAGGAAGAGTGAATAAAATCAAGAGATAAATATTGGCAGAATCAAAATCTAAAACTGTGAAGAGGTAAAACTGAACAATGGAAAATATTGCTTAAATACATAGTAATGCGGCAGGTAAGAATGCTGACATTGTTTATGCCAACAGTATCACTAGGAAGGTCAATTGTTACTGTGTATCTAGCAATTAATCTCTGAACCAGTAGAGATTATCTTCAGGAACTCCACAAGAGGTGCAGAAAAAATACAACAACAGCATTTTGTGAAATGGTAATAGTGAGGTAATAAAAAGCATCCAGAATGGATTTTCAATAAATCTAATTTGAAGGCCTTGTCCTAAACAGCGTGTATGTCCCTTTTCCCCTCAGAGACAGGGGGCAGTCCCTAGCTTTCTTTTACTGTACACTTAAGTTACACTCCAGCCTCACATTCTTGGTCTTTAAAAACAAGAACAACAACAAAAAAAAAGTAGTTTGTGGTGAAAGGAATAGTCACTGGCTGGTATATCTCCTATTCTGATCATTAGTAATTAAAACAGCACTGTGGTCAGACCTGTCCAGTTGTTCTATAGGCAGCATATCTGACAGAGCCTGTAAAGAACTGATTTGAAAGAAAAAGTTTATTCTCTTCTTAATTCTCTGTATAGACTTTACTCTGTATTTGACCAAGAGCACTGAATACAGGAGTTTTTCACAGCACTTTTTTTTTCCCCCTATCAGATCCTTCTCCCGAACAGCCACTTAGATGAACACCAGGTGGTTCACTTGGTTTACAGAATTCACTATTGTGATAAATAACTGAGAAGACCAAGAAAAAAACTCTGTATAAAATAAAATATTTATGCAGACCAGTCACAATACAGTGGCGATACTACATCAGAACACATGCTACTGCATACAGTGTATTTTGAAAAACAACAGACTAGAACCCTACCTCTGATAAAATCTGCTTGTACCTATAGCCACTTTTTATTGGCTTATTCATCCATATGCTTAAAGTGACATTTATTCACTGGAATTTTTCAAAAGCAAAAGAATTGGGTTGGGAACCACGAACTGGAAAAGCTCTAATAATATTTCCATTCACTTCTTTTTACTACTAACAGTGCAGGAAATATGAAATTTCATCAATAATTTACATAGCTTTCTTAGAATTCTCAAATAGCAAGACCTATATTTATACAGAATGCATCATAAGCAAAAATATTTGATTTTGTCAAATACACTGTTTAAAGTAATTGAATATTAAATAACAATTAATTTATTTAAAAAGCTATTTTGGTCAAATCTGATTCCAAGTAACTTTTGAAGAGCAGAAAAATAAATTATAATCTGTTTTGACCAAAAATTTACATTGAAATCTAACACAAATTCTACACATTATAATCTAAGGAACTAAGCAACAATTAACCAGGAGTATGAAGTGCAAGTTAAAGATACTTATGCCACCAGATCATGATTACAGTCATGAAATGAAATTACAGTCTGAACACATCTAAGGAAAAAAGATTAAAAACTGGCACAAAGACTTATTCCAGAGACAACTGTCCAATAGTTTTTTCATCACTGCCTTCTAACATCTCAGAGACTGAAATATATTTTCAATATACTACACGTTCAAGTTGCCTATTAACTTTATGATTCATTCCAGGATCTTCAAATTTTCTGTTGTTCTTTCTCAGAATAATAATGTGCTGTCCAAATGATTTCTTTTTCTCCAAGGCTTATTTAATGCTTCTGCTTGCAACAGCAAATGCTACTTATGAATTAGCAGGAATCATTTATACAAGAAACACCCTTCTACTTCCATAGAGAAAGATGAAATAATGTGAATTTAAATAAAAAAAAGTCCTAGAGAACTTAGGTAAAAATACTGTCTCCTAATAAGATCCTGTAAGTCACACTTCACTAGCTACAGAATTTCTAATTTCAAAATCAGTAAGTGCTGATTTCAAGCACAATTTAATTACAAAAATGTAAAAACAAATATTTGGTCATATTTAAAGCTCTGTGTAATGACCAAGAAGGATCAATACTTTTCCTTAAGAAGTCTTTAAAATAATAAATGCAATCTGAAGTTGTACTACTCTCTGATTTATAACATTGCGACTCTTGAAAACTTGATACTTTTGATTGATCAGACAACCTCTTCCTGTTTTTTCCTTCTTCCTTTTCCTCCCCCAAAACACACATTTTATATAAATGGTATCTTAAATGTGAATTATTTTCTGCCCTTGGAAAATTAGAAATATTTTACAACAGCACAGACAAGAAAATATGCAGAAAGTAACATACATTTTGAAGTGTCAAATCACTGATGTTAGTTGATATTGCTCTCAGCCAGTCAGCACTCTCCTGGGCTGTATAAAACTGAAGTATCCCAGTACTAACTCCATCGAGTGCCAGCACTTCAAATGCATTAGATCTGCAGTAAGAAGAAATATATCCGTAAAGGAAGATATATCAGTTTTCTGAAACTGTCCAATATCTCTCAGTGTTTAAGTGATCCTTACAACTTTTTAAAAGTTTTGGGGGTTGAATTTACAAATAAAAAGAAAGGCAACAAAAAGAAGGATAATAACGGACAGTATCAGCAGCAACACATACAATAAATACTTTCTCTGTACCAGCATCTATATGTGCTGATCATTTACTTCCCTTAAGCATACCAACTGTTTATAATTACTAAACTTAGGGTAGTGTACTCAGGAAATATGAATTAGATCTTTTTGAATAAATATTAATATTTTTGAAACCAAAATGACTTTTTTCTTTACTGCATTGTTGGTTTCATTTGCTAGGAATGTAAATGTTGCAACAAATTGTCTTCCCTAGTTTTAATTTATTAAATTCCTATACTTTCTATACAAAACTCTAAGCAAAGTTTCCTTTAAGTTCTTTTATGACATAGGAATGTGAAAAATGTACTTGAAAGTTTATTTATAATATTTTTGAATGTAAGGCCCTTTCTCATAACAGCAGCTACATGTGCTAATATTCAACTGAATTTTATTCAATTTTTATGCTTCTTTTATATCTTTAAAGCAACTTTGTTCTACAAATGCCAATGTTTCCTTACCAGATGTAGGAAGCTGAACTCTGTGCTCTAAAATCCCACACATCTGGATGATGGTGGAATACACTTTTTCAACTATTAAATTTTTCAGTAGGAATAACAGAAGTCTATTCAGCAGTGGCATGGAAGTACACTGGTTATATATATTTAAAACATATGACATGCAATAGTTTCAACTAAATTTCAGAGAGTTACATAGATTACTTCTTAGGTGTCCATGAGTGTCATGAGAATTAGATTTTACTTATATACTATTTTGCTTGTATCTTTTTTATAACTTGGAGAATATCACCACTCTCTGCTATGTTTACACAGTTGCTATATTTATACTTTAATGCTGTATTGCTTTCTATTGAATCTAGAATACTGTTCTGTGAAGTTGCTGGGTTGGGTTGTTATCTAGGATTCTCTTATCTAAGGTGAAATTTTCTACTGTTTAATTTATGATATATGTCAATATGAGCATTCAAAATGACACACAAAGGTTACGTGAGTCACTCTGAGCCTTACTGAAAATGTTATTAACCTAACAATTGTAATTTCTAGGGAGTTTGATAGTAAACACGAAGACTTAAATCTACATACTAAAAAGGTAATATAAAATACCCATCATATGCAATATTAGCAAGATGCAATATTCTTATATATATGTACACGTAGCTGATACCCTTTACCGTTAAATGAGTTGTTAAGTGTTATACTTGCTGCTAACAAAAATAACATTCTTGGTCTGAAGACTTAAATGTTATCAGTAGATTTCCTTGATTTCCTTTCATGATTGAATTATCATGTTACCTACTAAAACCTAAAAACAATGTCAAAATTCTGTTTCACTTCCATTTCAGGAGATCTCTGTTTCATCTCTTTAGAAAGAAAGAAAAGGTAAAAAAATTAAAAAAATAATAAAAAAAAAATAAAACAAACCAACAACAAAACAAACAAACCAAAAGAAAACATGTTATATTATCTTCAAGTAAACTGAGTGAAATAATCACCCCTCGAGCATACGGTTCCTTTTATCTAAGGCTCTCATAAACATCCCTGCAGTGCTGTAATGGAATGACTTATGGTATGATCTCTTCAACATCCCTCTGACACAGGGAACATCTATTATTGACTATGCATTGATATACAGTGGAACATGGAAACAATCAAACTGCTGCCTTGAAGAGAATCCATTCACGATGCATAATTTAGACGGAAAATTAAAATATCGAAGCTAAGATACTAGAATCCTTACACAAGTGAGAGAGGACAATCCAGAGCATTTAAGACAGAAAAATGGTGCACTTCACTGTCACCATATAGGGTGCCTACATAATAACTCAAGTTCAGAAGACACATAAATGTATGCAACGTGAATTCCTTATCTAAGTGGCACAAAGTTATACAAGTGGCTGATGAGAGATCACAGAAATTAACTCTTAGGGCAACAACTAATACAGCTAATACACAATCATGTTTTTTGTTGTTGTTGTTGTTGTTGTTTGTTTGTTTTTGTTTTTGTTTAAACAAAGGCCACTACAAGTTTTGTTATAAAAATTAATCAATCTTTTCTAATTTGAAACATGGTGCTGGCAATACTGCAGATGACACTAAAGCTTCCGCTGTCCTTTACCTTATTAAAATATTGTGATCAGTTATGAAAGACAGTTAAGAAATTCAAACAAAGGCAGCTAGATATCTGAACGATTCACTGACAGGATATTTGCACAGAATCAAAATGTAGGATGTGAGGGATCCTAAAAGTCCAGGCCAAAAATGGACGCAGTATTTAAGATGCAGGTATTTTAGATGTGGCCTCACAAATGCAAAGCAGAGGAAAATAATCACTTCCTTTGACCTGCTGACTCTGTTATTACTAATACTGTCCCATTTGTGGCTACCCTTCTTCCCTGAAAGTGCATACAGCTGACTCATGTTCCACATACTAACCATCCAGTGGGTTTGTTCTCAACCTTGCTCAATGTTACTATATTATTTCTTGCTTTCAATTACGATTGTTTCCCTCTACAAATTCCATAACGTATTATTGTATGTATCACACTGTGGTCTGTAAAATATAATGTATATAAGGCAAGACGTGAAAACAATTATTGAAACTAAAACCAAAAGCTAAATGAAATGTTGAACTTTTTTTTTTCCCACTTTAAGTGAAACAACCAGTACATGATGCAAGCACCAAGACAGCACTGAAATTTAGGTGAAAATAAATCCTAGAGGCTTAAATACCACACTTTTCTCCATTTCATCAAAACACAGAAAATAAAAAAAGAGGGACCTCTAAGCACCTACTCCTGCTCGCTGACAAGGATGAGCTTTAATATCACATAAGAGTTTTGAGAGGTTTCAAGATGCTATGAAGTCACATCACCACAAAATAAGATGACATGGCTTCTTTTTTGGTTTGGTTTGGTTTGGTTTTTTTTGGGGGGGGAAGAGGGGAGGTGGAGGCTTAGAAGGGGGAAGAAGGGGGAAGTCTTAAAGACCATTTTAAGACACAGCTAGAGGAGATTCCTGTCTCTTTTATTCCTGCTGTTATTATATTATTGCAACAAGAACCAGAAGTAAATGGAGTGGAGTTCTAATAGTTTGAAACAGCAGAAAATGAATACTGACTGCAACTTATAACCTATACACAACTATATATGGGGTTATCAGGCTTCAAATCTTTCTAAGACTGCAAATGCCACCTACCACCAAAAAAAGGAGAAAAAAGCACAAAACAGGAAACAGAAACGTAGGCAGTAATTTCTCTGTTCCTTTACACTGACTATCACTTGAAATACACACCTGATGACACTATCAAGAATTTTACATAATTATTTTAAGTCACTACCAAAGCTCATTAAACTCTTCTCTGAATGAAACACAAGACAAAATCCTTCCAGTTTCCACTTCAATAGATTCATCAGTCATATGGAATTTCCCCTTCTTCCATATGATTGGAAGCATTCTTCATCACAAAGTAGCAATCACTGAATCTATCACATAAAAATAGTCTTACTGTCGCGAGAATTGTTTGAACTGCAAGGCTGAGAAAATTGAAGGCCTTTTACTCATCTTGAAAGACTGGAATTTCATGGTGGTTTCCAGTGCAGTCTGGTCAGAGACAAATATCACAGTTGCTGTGAAGTCACAACCAGACATTGTTTGCCAGCATCTGAGTATCATCGCTGTGTCAGGTGTGGATGAAGCATTCCACTAGCAAAGATTAATTGCCAAGAATATGTTTCAATGTCTAATGTTAGAGATCCTTTCTGCTGATGTGTCTTCTACGGGGAAATACACAAATGCTGCAGATACAGGAAAAGCTCTTTGAAGATGGAAATATTTTCCTTTTAATATTTCATATTAAAATATATTAGTTCCTAAAGCTTCCTGTTTCTCTACCATTTCTACCAAATATGGCCATTCTATCTTTAACTCTACACATGAGTGTGAATGGTAACACCTAGAATATTTGTTTTTCTTAAATTCTAGAAATTTGGGATGAATTACCCTCACATTTTCTATTATTTTCATATTTGTATCCCAATCTGAAACTTTCTTTCCCACAAGCATTTCCACTAAATAGCATGAAGCACTGGTTTCTTTACTCAGCCTATTTTTATCTCATTTTTACTGTGAAATGTCTTTTTTTTTTCTTTTTATTACATTAACTTATTTTAATAAAATAAACACTGTCTTAGCAAGAGTAATGTTAGTTTAAATAATAGATGGGCATTGGTAGACTTAGTTCTCTTCCTGACATTGACACTTTTCATCAATTAATATTAATAAAACAAAAAATGGCAACTGGGAGTTTTGTGATACAGAGCAGTTGGTAAATAAAGAGGTGTTACATCAAAAGACTTTTCTAAGAGAAAATCTATTTTCAATGCCAGCTGAACTGCAAAAAGCTGATTTTTTGTTATTGGAGGGTAAGGATTTCAGTCATTCAGTCTTTCTTCCTCCTTATGTCTGAATTCAATTTTTATTGCTTTTCTTACACAGTTTTCTAATGGCTTGTTTACATTTCTGTATTACTCTCTTGCCAGAATTTCTATTTCTAATTAGCCTGAAGTAGTGTGGATTATGGAATGAAAATTCAACCCAAAAAAAGAATTGTCTAAATTATTTAATCTCTTTGAAATTGTGTTAAAAAAAAATGAGGTGTACTACTGTAAATGAAATACAGCCTCAAAAGATGGGCAAAGTTGCTTATACAATTAGACTGCTAACAGAAACTATTGAGCTAAAAAGCTATCGAGGTATTAAACATATGCTTGGATTGCATGTCGAGTTTGTTTCTTTTTTTTTAGTGAACATTTTGCTTCCAGTATTGTAACTTTGCTTTATTTTGTATT